TGACCAATGGATCTGGCTCCAAGGTGGCAGATGTCTTTCAGCAAGTTGTCATCTCTTCTTTTGGTCAATTAGCTCAATTATACTATCAACTGCATAATGATTTTTTCTTTTTTACAGAAAGGCTGGAGAGCTGTAAAAAGTGCCTGCAGAAATTTGCTCCATTTGGTAAAGACACATGCTTTGTGCATATCCTGCCCAGGCTTTGATGGTTCCCGGGTGCAAATGTGTAGCAACACTTCCCCTGGACATGATCCCTGCCCCTAAAATCTCACAAGTCTCCTTTGTGCTAGTCCTTGCATTTAATATGTATTTATGGATTTTTTTCTCTGGATTTGTGTGGTCTTGTTCCTAAACCACACAGCATCTGCAGCAGCCCCTGGCAGGGAGGGCAGCTGTGTGCTGAGTCTCCTCCTTGTGTTATCACTGTTATTTCAGCCTCTCCCACCTCCCCCAGCTGTGCAGATCTCTGCTCTGATCCCAGCTGTCTCTTCCCTGTACCAAAGAGCCCTGGTCCTTCAGGGACCCCATGTGCAGAGACCTTGGATCCTCCTGTTGCCCTTCTGTGCACCTTTTCCAGCTCTGCTGTATCCTTGGAATAGGGGGGATCAGAAATGCATGTAGACTGGGACTGGCTAGGGAATAGTGATATCTCTGATTTCATCTCTCCTTTTTCCTGACCCTTCCTGTCAGCTTGACAGAGAGTCTTTGAGGTTTTGACCTCTTCTGAGGGGACAGTTTCACAGACTGTCAGAGCTCCCAATCTCAGAACCCTTCACTTTGGACAAGAGCCTGGGCTTGTTTTCCCCATTGTGTCCCTTCCCTAACACTGGCTTTTGTCTCTTTTTATTGCCAACTTCCTAAGCCTCTCAAAGTCCTCCTGCAATGCTTAGCATGCATCCACAATTTCCAGAATAATTCAATATTATTGCAGATTTTGCCGTTGACCTCATCTTGTCAAAAGATCTGCGTCTGGAAATGCAGGGACTTCTGCTGGATCACCTCAGGGGCCTGCTGGCTTTTTCCAAGAAAGCACCAGCTATGAAAAAGAGAAATTCACTGCAAGAGAGCTGTATCAACTCTTCCCCAATATGTCATATTTATCCATCTGTTCCCTAACGATGCCAGTTTCCTCCTCCGTATGCCAATTTTTGTTCATTTGCAGAGAACAGATGTGTCATTTATCAGCCTGGGACTCCCTGGCTGCCTCCCAGGAAGCAATTCTGGTGTCACAGTTGCCACCTTCCAGTCCTCACGTCCCCTGCTGTACCCAGACCCTGGAGTTGGTTCGGCTGTCACCCAGCAGATGTGACATCCCCTTGGTCCCTGCTGTGCTGCACAATGGGTGGATGTGGCTTGCTCCCGGGAGGAAAGGAGCAGGCACACAGGCACTCCAAAGCTCCTGCAAATGGCTTTTGTTTGAAGCTGTGGAAGAAGCACCTGGAGATTCAAGGCTTCCCTGCAAGCCAGGGTCGATGCTGGCATCAGGGGAAGGAGTCCACCCAGCACCTGACTCAAGTGACACGTGGGGAAGTGTCAGATCAGCCCCCACATTACCTGGGGCTGAGTCAGCGGGAGTGTGCAGGGGCAGAGACATTCTGCTCTGAGTCACCGGATGCTGCTGCCTGGGGGACGCTGGGCTGTGTCCGCACCACCCAAGGTTAAACTGCAGGGGAAGCTTTGCCATGAAGACGTGGCACGATCCCTCCTCAGCCCAGGGAAGGTGCTGTGTGCTGTTCTTGGCGCGGCTGCCAAACAGGGCTCCTGTCCCCAGCTGGGGGTGAGCACCAGGAGCATTTCAGGCAGCCAAAGCAGCTCCTCAGGCCCCGCAGGATGGATGAGGGCTGAGGATGCACACAGCTCTCTGCTGGGCTGGCAGCAGCCCGGAAGACATTACCTGGATTTTTCTTCCTGGTGCGTGCTCTGACCTGTCTGAATTCACCCAGCCAAACAGCTCCTTTGGTAGGAGGAAGGGCAATGCTGTGAGCACCAGCCTGGAGATCTCAGCAAAGAGCTCCTGGACCCTTCAGAGGTGGAGAGGAGGGTGAGAGCAGAGATTCCAGTGCAGAGGACCAGCCCTGCATCCTTGCACACAACTGCAGAAAGCCTTTCTGCTTCCCCTGTTCCCGTGGTCCCTCAGGGTGAACCACAAATCACTTCTGCACAGCCACGGATTGTTATGTTCCTATCTGAGGACTGTGTGCAAACGGCTTCATAGCCATCCTTCCCTCCTTCCTGGGGGCTCCGTGGGCAGTGCCTGCAGCAGGCAGCCCCCAGGGCTGCACATCCTACCTGGGGATGCATGAGAGAGAAGCTAAAATGTGGAGTCTGGCACGCGAGCGGTGCAGCCTGTGCTCCCCCATCCTCTCCCATCTGCCAGTCCCACCCCGTGTCCCCTGCCAGTCCCTACACCCGCAACCCTCCACGGCAGCCATCTGTCACAGTCAGCCACGGTGACTCGCAGGCACAGTGGCATCGCAGCCACCCCTGTGGTGGGGGTCAGTCTCTACAGCGCAGCCATCAAACCTGGGTCCCGACAGGAATAAGGTGTGCAGAGTGTAAACAGTTGGGATCGGAGCAGCACCAGCTGCAGCATGAGCAGCAGACAGGTTCTGGCTTTGGCGGTGGGAATGTAGAAATCTGCCACTGCTCCTCCAAACCTGAAGTGAGCCACTGTGAACACAGCAATGTCACCAGCCTCTCGTTGTGACTGCAGAAAAGAATATGAGCAGCCTGTGTCACGCCATGCAGGTGGTGAGGTCATTTGGTCTCCTTCTGGAGGCCCCTTAAAGCTCCCCAAGCACAAAGGAGTGTCCCAGGAGGCTCTCACCTCAGCTGTGCTCTCTTCACCTGCTGCCTCGGTGGCTGGGCCAAGGGGAAGCCAATACCCAGGGCTCAAATCTGAGGGCTCAGGTGAGTCCAGAGACTCTGATGCCCCTCCAAGCTCTGCTGAAGCCTGAGGTGAGAAGGTGATGCCTCAGAGGCAGAGATCAGAGAACAGGGCTACATTGGGCCAACCTGGAAGAGAAACAGGCCCAGCAAATGGTGAGGAGGTGCTGGGGTCCTACATGGGCATGGACCACAGACCTTTGTCAAATCCCAGCACGGCCCCGGCACAGCTGCCTCTCCCAGGAGGGACTGATGTGGGAGATGTGCCAGGACTGGATGAGAAGGAAGAAAACAAACACCACCACAAAGCTAGATCCCTCCTCAGTGCCCTCTCTGGAGACACTGAGCGTGTGTTTTCCAGGCCTGAGTATTTAACAAGAGCCATCTCCTACAGCTGCTGCTGAACATCCTCCTTGGTTACTAATAGAGGGTGGAAGCACTTTCAATCTCAAGTGCCATTAGCCCTGCTTCCTTCCAAATGCTGGACAGGCAAATTTATTGAGAATCTCTGTCTTTTCTGCATTTTAATAAGTCTCTTCATCTCCATGTGAGAGCCCGGGAGCGAGGTCTGCTGCTAGACTGCAAACACAGCCTGGTGATCACTTTGTTCTTCACAGATGCTTTTTCTCCTGATGCCTTTTGCATCTTGCAATCCCCATGCTTTGAAATTTCCAGTGCTGTTTTCTGGGTTTCACGGCTGTCTTCTCCCTTTGAAGGAAGCTCCCTTGGTGTCCAGTTGGACCCGGCAAATTTGGATGGATTTCTCAAGCAGGAGTGTGCCCAAGGAAGCAGGAAATCTGGGACTCAGTGGGCTCCCTGGGCACATGCTGGGCATGTACCGTGTCAGGCTGGCACAAGAAGCTCAGTTCCTTGGCAGCCCCATCCTCACTCTCCCTCCTGCACAGGGCTGGTAGGAAGGAGGTCACCACGAGAAACTGCTCTCCCCAGCTAGGCACCCTGACAGCAGGATCCCAGCATCTGTCCCCACACTGTGCAGGACCATGGCTCCTGGTGTGAGGACATGCAGGGACACACTGTGGCATGTGTCCCTGCTCACTGGATACCTCTGCAAGCTTCTGTGGGGGTTTCGCTCCTGGAGCATCCTGTGTCTGGCCCTTTCTTTCTTCATGGCCTTCAGGGGATTCAGGCTGTGAGCCTGGAAGCAGGTTTGGGTGATGGTGTGTATTTAGGAAGGGATGTGGAGGTTTGGGGGCATAGGTCTGGAGACAGGGCTGCTGGGGCATTGGAGAGCATGGGGAGATGGTCTCGGTGGTGGGTGAGCAGAGAAGGCTGCCGGCTGGTGATGGCTGTGTGTCCAGGGGGGCATAGTCAGAATGTGTGTTGGTGAGGTTTTTGTTGCTGCAACAGCCTCGGGCTCTGCTGCCGTGCCCCAACAGACTGCTCCCAGTGCCACACTCTCGCAGCATCCCAGGGGATGTCCTCCAGCCCCTGTGCTGGGGAGCAGCCCTGCATGCTCACTCCAATGTCTCTGCACATCCAGCTTGAGCTCAGCGTTCTTCCCAAGCACTTCCCTGCCTTGTCCCTGCTCATCCCTTCCCGCAGTGTTTCTTGTGGCGGTCCACAGCGCCAGCCTTGTGTTTCAGTGTCTCCCTGGGGCGAACTGCTCCGGGGGTCCCGCACGGGGCTGCTCCCACCAAACACCTCCCCGGCAGCGGCTCGCACCGAGCACTTGGAGCGGATGACCCTCGTGGGCTCCCTCCAGCTCGGGACGTTCCGTGACGCCACGAGGGGCCCTTTACCTCCCTGCCCCCGGTGGCCTTTCCCCTGGCGCCCAAGGACGCTCGGGGTGGCTGGGGGGCATGGCCGGGGCCGGATCGGGCCCGAGGCCGCGGGAGCGCGGGGGGCGGCCCGGAGCGCCGCGGAGGGC